CGGGGCCAAAGTGGACCGGGCGGCCTCGTCCCGACCCGAGCGGCCGGGCCCCGGGGATCACGTCCGGCTGCGTCTGGGGCGGGTCGGCGGGGAGCAGGCGGAACTCCGGGTCCCCAGGTGCGGCGCGGTGAGGACGCCTAAAGCCTCTCCACCCGTTCCAGCCCAACCCACAGGGGCGCCTCTAGACGACCCGCAGGTCTCTGCTCCTAGGGGCGAGCTCAGACCGGGTGCCACCCGAGGTCCTCTCGCCCTCCCCTCTGAACGCGTTCAGGTGGCGAGGCTGGCGTCCAAGCTATTTTCAAACCCTGTTTTCCCTCGTACCTTCTCTTGGGGGCTGTCCAAGTCCCTGGGCACCTAGGCAAAAGGCAGACTCTGACTAGCTGCCACTTCTCCCGGGTGTCTGGAAGAGCGGAGGGGAGCTTTCCCCAGTCACCTCTCGGGTTACTCTCTGGGAGCCGTCACCTGGCACCCTCCCCCCGAGGCCTGAGAAACCTAGCTCAGGTCCCTCCCTTTTGGGGAGTCGTTCATAGGGGATCACCCGAGTCTTTCCTTCCAGATGTGAAGCCAAAGCGCCTGGACTCCGGCTTAGTCTCACCTGCCACCCACCTGGGGCTCACTGGCAGTACCCCTCCCTCCGCCTCCAACTTCTTGCCAGCACCTTGCCTTGCCGCGCTCCACCAGGGGAGCCCGAGTTCCCTGGTCCCTGGAGCGCCAGCGTGTCTGGGCCTAGGGAGCCCGCCCTGCCCCTCCTCTCTCCCACTGTGGCGTTCCAGCTGTGGGTTCCTCCTAACCCTGACTGGCATTGGGAATGTGTGTTGGTGCCTGCTGGTGGGGGTGGGGTCAGGGGCCCCTGGGGCAGGGCATGTACCATCTTCCACACTTGCTGACTCCCAAAATAGCCCTTCAAAAATTCGTGGGATGTGACCAGGACTTTTGAACGTGACCTTCCCTTCCAGTGGATGAACCCTGTGGTTTTCTCCTGGGACAAGGAGAAGAAGGGTGGGTGGGGAGGAGGTCTGAAGAGGAGGGAGCCAGGAAGCAGAGATGAGTCTGGAGGACCAGGGTGCATTTTGGATGACGAGGTTTCCCTGCCATCTCCACTCTGAGGCAGAGATCACTTACTCGGTCTTGATGATTTTGGTTTCCCAGGCTGCAAAGTGGGGATAAAGTCCCCGTGGGGCTGGAATGTGTGTGGTGTATAGGTGCATGCCTAGCTTTCAGGAAGTCTTTTGATCCTAAATTCTTGGTTCCGTCATCAGCACTTCACAGATTGTTTGGTAGCGGCTCTGGTCTGTAATCCCAGCCTTCGGGAGGTGGAATCCTGGGGCGGGGAGAGTGGGCGTGTGCAGGGGTGGGGGTGGGGGTGGGGGTGGATCAGAAGTACATTGTCATGCTGTGCCAAAGAGTGAGTCCAGCCTGGGCTAGACGTTAGTTAAACTGGTGCTAGTGTATTTTCCAGGTTGTAGTCCCGGCTGGCCTGGAACTTGCTGTGTAGACCAGGTGGGCTTTGTGCCTCTGCCTCCCTCAGTGCTGGGATTAAAGGTACACATCACCATTCCCTGTCCTCCTGGCTAAACCTAGTTCTCAACCCGGTTTGGCCAGCTCTGACTGAGATGGGGGTGGCAGCCTGTCTGGACCCTGGAGGGACTCTGAGCTCTCTCTTCTCCCCTCCCTGCACCTCCCAAAGCCTTGCACTTAGAACAAGCTTCTCAGAAGCCTGGCCTGTCTTTGGTTAAGTGTCAAATTCATAATCTCATTTTACCAAGAAGACTTGCCTGGGACTCTTGTGGGAGTGTCTGTGTTTTACTTACCTGGGGGTGGTTTTGATGAATGCTTGCTCCTGCTTTTGTTTCTGGTGTTTGACTTCTGTTAGCTCATTAGCTCCTGGGAGGTGTCAAAGCTTGCTTATCTTCAGACCCATTTTAGAGATAATGGACAGGGAAGTCCACTCACTCATGGCTCCAGGCACGGAGAGGCAGAGCTTCCCCAGCCCAGGGATTTTAGTCACATGCTTTGGGTTTTCTGGCTGTTAGGGGAGCGAGGTACCCCCCACTCCAGGTTTGGCTAGCTGCCCCCAGGACCAGTGTGGACACAGATTAGAGGGGAAGGCCTTAGGTGTGCCCAACTTGAGAGGTTGGAACCTACTCAGCCAGTCCTTGGGTCTAGCTTTCATGATCAAAGGCCAGAGCCTGTTAGATGGGAAAAGGAGCGTGCTCTCAAGCCTGAGGACCTGCGTTCAATCCCTGGGTCCCAGGTGGTGGGAGGAGAAAACTGATTGCCAAAGGTTGCCCTCTGACCTCCACACGTGTGCTCTGGTACACGGGCTCCTTTCCCCCCCACATGCCTACTAAGTGTGGAAAAATAAAAGAGAAAAGCTCAGAGGGCAGAGCCACTGCCTGATCTGGAAAGAGGATTCTCTCAGGGCCATTTTCTCCTTCTCTCTGGGAACCATAAAGATCATATCTCAGCGCCTGACCTAGAACCAGGATCTCTTCCCTAGCTCAGTGGCTTCCTAAAGGTCCTGGGGTCACTTTGACCCTCACATTCCTGTATGGGTTGTGTTAACCTGTCAGAGAACCCAAAGCAAATGATAAAGAAGTATAAGGTGTCTGTTCCAGTAAAGGTAATTCATGACTCTCTATGGGGTCAATTCATATTTCTGTATAGGGTTCTAAATACTGCTGGGCATAGTCCTTTAACCCACACCTTAACCCTAACACTGGGGAGGCAGAGGCAAGTGGATCTATTAGTTCCAGGACAGCCTAGTCTACAAGCCAGAGCCACATAGTGGAGAGAACTTGTCTCAAAAAAACCAAACCAAAACAAGAAACCAGAATGTCAATACCTGTGACAATAGGGCACAGTGAGTCTGAGTGTGTCTCCTGATGGTGTGTACTGTGATGGTTCTCACTTCTGGTGGAGGAAGGGACAGAGGGAGAAGGCCACAGATAGTCGGCGAGGCTAGCACAGAATGCTAGAAAAAAGATAAAACAGCAGAGGGGCAGCTTTTTCAGATAGGGTGGGAACTGTGTTATTCTAGCGGTAGCTGCTGAGACATGGGTCCAAGTGCAGCTTCTCTGGGAGGATTTCCCAGGAAGTATGGTGAGGATAGCTGAGAAGGGAAGGCAGTCCCCATAGTGGACAGTGGGGCAGCCCCTGGGCCTTAATTCTGAGGTCCCTCAAGGTAGAATTAGCACTGTGTTGTCTTGCTTCTGAATGGCAATGGCTACAGCAAGACTCACTGGATTCGTGACTGGAGGATATTGCAGATGGAGACCACAGTCCTCCAGTTTGTGAGGCACTACAGGCACTGGGTCCCTCTAGCAGTCAGAGTGGCAGGCACTGGCGTCTTGTGTCAGAAAGTGGTCTGCATAGAGGCAGCCACCTCTCTTAAGAAGCTGACCTGGAAGATACAGGTGAGTCCAGGGAGGGACAAATGTGGGAAGGGGATTTGGCTAGTTGACCGGCAGGTCTGAGGGACATTGAACTGGAGGCTTTTCGTGGTCTGATTACTGAGGGAGGGGCAGGATGTGAGAGGAGACAGGTCACCCACTGTTGACAGACACTGTCTTTGGGTGCCGTGGCATGTGTCAGTCACCCCTGCCTTGCATTGGAGGGGCTTGGTGGTTGCAGGATGGGGTGTGGGACCCGAGTCTCAGGGCTGTCACTTAGGATCCTTCTTTGTATTCCTTGCCTGTGGCGCTGTGATATACTGATCTCATAAAACTCAGTAAGCTGCCACACGTGCATGAAAGCCCTTTGCGCTTGACGGGTGGCGGTGGCAGTGGCTGGTTCTCACAGGGCTCTAGGTGTGGTTTCAGCAGGGTCACGTGTGAGCTCATTTGGCCTCATGACAGCACCATGGAGTGGGTACTGTTACCTGTTTCAAAGCAAAGAAACTGAGGCGCAGGAAGGTTGAGGGACTGAATAGCCTTTCGTTGCCCTTCCTTTTTTCTTCTCGTGTATGTAGGCAGGAGGGAGCTCTGACTGAGGCAGCCATCATTTGTTATTCACTTTTGAGAATGATCTCAGTGGTTTTAGTTTTTGAAATTGGCTTAGTCTTTGTTTTGTTTTAGTTTTATTTTGAGACAGGGTTTCTCTGTGAAGCCCTGGCTGTCCTGGAACCTCCTCTGTAGACCAGGCTGACCTCAAATGAGATCTACCTGCCTCTGCCTCCACAATGCCTGGTTCTTAGTCTGTTCACATTCTGAAACTTTCGCCATGAAAGTCCTGAAAAACCCACTGGATTTGTCAAAGGTTGTCATGTTCCCGCAGGGCAGTGTTTAGGTCCCCTCCTAGGATATCCTTACAGTTCCCAAGTCACCCTCACCAGGCTTGGGAAGCAGACTGGGTCCCTGGGCAGAGGCTTGCCTTCACTGTACCTGTGGGTTGGCTGCAACTGGGTCGGGGCAGGATGCTCAAGTAGCCCTAACTCCTCTTGGGGCTCTTACCAGGAAGCAGCATGTGGTGGGGTTGAAGCTAGCCTGGACTTGCGGTCCTGTCCTGAGCTAACTCCCATAGCAGGTCATCTGTAAAATCATAAAATGAAAATAGCGTAGTCATTACCCACCACAGGGCTGAAAATAACTCGAACTGGAGTAAGCACAGGCCTGTATTTGCCCAGGAGCCTCTGGGAGCTCTGCTTGGGAAAGGGTGCGGCTCTGGCTCCTTGCTGTATATGGTGTCTGGTGATTGGAGACCACACTGGTCTGTCTGTTTGTTTCAACGTTCTTTCTTGGGGAAGTTGTGGGCGCCAGAGGCCTCGAAGAACCTCAGTAAAGAGCAAGTCACATGTCCAGAAGCACAGGAGATATAGGGAGGCAGAGGCCACAGGAGAAACGCTCAGGGCAGGGGCCCTTCCAGCGCTACAGCCTGGGGAGCAGACCTGAGGACAGGTCTTTTGAAGAGAGGCAGGCAGCTGCTGTGTGAAGAATCGGCAGAGCCCTGCTCAAGGCAACAGCCATAGCCAGGATTGAACAAGCCTGCAGATACCTGCCCCTGGACCTGGCCCTCAGCCTGCTCCTTTGTCTGCCACATCTCATTATCTTACCCACAGCTCTGGACAGCCCTGTGAGCCTAGTGCAGTGTTTTCTCTATTTTATCATGATTTTGAGACAGCTTTGCTATGAAGCCCTAGCTGGCTCGGAACTCATTATGTAGACAGACCAGGCTGTCCTCGAACCCACAGAGATCCACCTATTGGGATTGGGGGCATGTTATGCCACATCTGCCCTTTATTTTTTAATAGTGTGCATATGTGTGTATGAACATGAGCACACGTTCCCGCAGAGGCCAGCCTATGACGTCCCCCTTGGGCTGGACTTAGCAGCGAGTGTGAGCTTTCTAACCAAACCCGCCCCACAGTGCGCTCAAGTGCTGAGTCATCTCAGCCCCCATTTCGTCTTTATTTTTTTCTTTCTGAGACAGTTTTGTGTATGCCAGGCTGGCCTCTAACTGACTGTGTAGCCAAGGATAATCTCTAACTTCCGATCCTCCTGCCTCTACTTCCCAGTGCCAGGATTATGGGTATGCTCCACTATACCTGGTTTATGGGGTACTGGGGATGGAAATCAGGACGTCGTGCATGCGAAGCAAGCACTCCACCAACTCAACAACACCCCAAATCCTTTCCCCCATTTTAGAGATGAGGAAATAGAGCTCTCTCTCGGGGTCATTCACAGTATCAAACTGAGTCCCTCACTCTTAGCCACTGGGCTGGCTTGCCTGCCTCTGATTAGGTGCCCTGGGAGAGGGTGAATGTGTGGATCGCTGTGTAGCTCTAGCAACGTAGACCAGGCTGGGCCCCAAATTCACAGAGATTTGCCTGCCTCTGCTTCCTGAGTGCTGGGATTAAAGGATTGTTTCTTATACAAGATCTCAAGGTGTGTTCTAGGCTAGCCTCTGATTTAGAATCATCCTGCCTCATCCTGGGATTGCAGGTGGGTACTGCCATGCCTTGTTTGGAAAGAGCATTTTGGATATTGAGAAAGTAGATGTTGCCGTATGGCGGGAGCTTGTGTAGGGAGGTGTGTTGGGGAGTTGGGGGACGCTGCTTTCAAACAGCCCAGCAGTCACTGTGGGCACCTCCTTTCTCTGACTCGCCGTGTCATCTTGAACAGGCCCTGCACCTCTCGGCTTTAGTTAGGTCATCTGTCAAGTTACAGGGCTGGGCAGAGGGTCTCAGAGGCTGGGTCTGGTAGCCAGTGTAGAAGCTGGCAGGCCACACTGTAGAGAAGGGTCAGGTCAGGGAAGGAGGACCACAGAAAAATGTCAAGCATTTGGGGTCAAGGAGGAGAGACTGTTTTGACAGCAAAGAGAACACCAGTGACCTTGGCAAGCTTTGGCCCTTTGGAATGAAGTGAGCGGAAGTGGCTTTGGACCAGAGCCAGGGAAGGGCTGAGCCAGAGGAAATGGGAGAGTGGGACCCAGAGATAGGGGAAGGATGTGTGCCTTAAGGCAGGGATGGATAATGGGAAGAGGTCACTCCTGATTGATTAGTTTTGCCTGCCTGAGGCCATAGTTGAGAAACTGGGAAACACTGCTGTCTGCCAAGGACACAGGCTTTGTGAGTGTGCCCACCTCAGGTTGGAGATGGTGGGCTGGGTATCCTGGGCTGTGAAGAAGCAGCATAGGTTATTAGGAAAGACCTAAGAACCTTTTCCTGACCTTTGACTAAACTAGAGGCAGTTTGCCTTGTAGCAAGTTGTGTGGTCCAGGGACCAGGAGCACGGGCTGGTATCTTTTTCACCATAGAATGGGCAAGAAAGACTTTCAACCGACATGGTGGCTCTACTCATCCTGGGGATAGGGCCACGAGCCTTGGTTTCTTCCAGAGCAGGGAGTTGTTCTGGCGTCCTCATTGCCTAACCCAGGACTGGGGATACCATGGGGACTCTACTTCCTTCTGGAGGACCTAATGGATGGGACGTCCTGTTGGACTTTATGATCATCTGTCTCAGTTAGGGCTCAGGAGGCCCGCAGGGCATTGTGTCAAACATAGCTGGGGCTGAGGGTATTTAGGACATCTTTACATTCAAAAGATGAGTACCAGTTGTGTGTCAGGCTCTGGTGGCGAGTCAGAGTCACCTGGGTCTGAGAGAAGGGGTCATATTTGCAGGTCCCTTCCCGTCCCCACCCACAGTGAGAGGCAGCGTCTTGCCCAACACAGATCCCGAGCCATGAGCCATGGAACGAAGTGATAGCGTCCCTGAAACTCAGGGGTCAGGGGCATGAGGTGGTAGGAGGCGCCCTAACTGGGCTGTGCACAAATCCCCAGTGACCTCACTCTCTCAAGTAAGCTTGGCCCGGTCTCCCACTGTGTGATGGGTGCCCTTAGCCTCAGCTCTAAGGAGGAACTGGGGAATGGGCAAACCTTCCCTGGGGTTTGCATCCCTTTACCTCAGCACTCTTTCCTTCATGGGGACCAGGTGGGCCCCTTCCCAACTCTCCCCTGCCCTGGCTTTCACTCCACTCACCCCTCCTCCTTGCTGATGTTAGTGATGGCCAAGACATCTTGGAGGACCCTTCCCATGTGTCATGGATGCAGCCCAGTGGAGCCAGTGACATCACTTAAATCTAACCCTAGTCCCTTTCCTTGGGCCATTGTATCTTTGCTGGTCCTCACCCCCCAGACTGCCCAGCTCTTAAGCAAGTGTGGGTTGGGATGCACCAGCTGGTAGGTAACTGCCAGTATTTACCGTGGTGGCTTTTGGCCCATTCCTTCAAGTCTTGAGCCTCAGTTTCCTTAACTGTAATGTGTGTCTTCTATTGCTATGAAGAAACACCATGGCAACAGCAACTCTTACAAAGAAAACATTTAATTGGGGCTCACTTACAGTTCCAAGGTTCAGTCCATTATCATCATGGGGAGACATGCAGGCAGATGTGGTGCTGGAGAGGTAGCTCTTACATGTTGATTGCAGGAAGTAGACTAAGTGTCACACTGAGCTAAGCTCAGTGAAAGAGACCTCAAAGCCCACCCCATAGTGACATTTCTTCTAACAAGGTCACACCTACTTCAACAAGACCATGCCTCCTAATAGTGCTACTCCCTTTGGGAGCCATTTTCCTTCAAACCACCATAATGTGATAATCCTCATCTTAAAGAGTCATACTGAGGACTCATTGAGGAGGAGGGACCATTTTCCCTCAGCGTTGCCATTGAGTTGGGGTTCATGAGATGGCATAGCCAAGTCTTGACCCTAGACCGACTGACTGTCTCTGTGACTTGGTTTAACTTCCTGGACTTTGGAGTGGCTGTCTGCAGTGTGTGACAGGTTGTCGGTGCTCCTAAGGGTGAATGGGGACAGTGTATGCGAAGCTGGTCAGGTTTTGGGTAGGCCGGGAGGTAATAGCTAAAGTACGGATGGGGGTACCCCAGGGCCCTTTGTAGGTGTGCTGAGAAGGTGGGTGATGAGAGCCAGGCCTGCTCAGCACACTGAAGGCTGTCTGTCCTGTGCTAGAGTTGCCAGAGAACTGGACGGACACTCGGGAGACACTGCTGGAGGGCATGGTTTTCAGCCTCAAGTACCTTGGCATGACGCTGGTGGAGCGCCCCAAGGGCGAGGAGCTGTCTGCAGCTGCTGTCAAGAGGATCGTGGCCACAGTGAGTGTCCAGGCAGGAGTACAGGAGCCCGGGCCAGCTCCTCTACCCTAGCTGCCCCTGTCTCCAGGTGGGGTCTGTATAACATGTGCTTGGGCCTGGCACACATTGGGTCCCCTGTGCCCAGCTCAGGGACATTTGTGAAGATTGCCTTTGTACTTGCTGGGTCAGTTAGCATCCTCTGCAGGCCACCCTGGCCTTGACTGCTTCCAGCCTGGAGTACCCACCTCAGGCTCCTGGTGACTCACTAGCTCCAAGGAGGGAAGGAAGTTGTTCCCCATTTACCGTGTTCTCACTGCTTGGCCCACCAAAGTGTCCTTTCCTACCTCCGAGAGGATGTGAACTCTTTAAGTCTATTCCCTAGAGTAGCCCTGACCTATAGCTCAGGCCCTGGCATGTGGTAGAGTTGGGTCCCCAGGTTGCGGTGCTGGCCTGTGGCAATCTGTCTCGAATTCTTCCCAGTGTCCTTGGGCTGGTTCCTTCCCCTGGGAGTCCCATATCTCCCTGGACAGGAGGTGTTGATCCCCTCATGTGAGGCTAGTGCTCACTGGGCAATGGGCTAGCCGGCAGTGGTTGTCCATCTGTGCCTCAGGAGACTTGTTGTAGTGTGCTTAGCACTGACCAAAGATGAGTTGGGAGGAAAGAGTTTGTTTGTCTTAAACTTGCATCACAGCCATCACTGAGAGAATTCAGGGTGGAACTCAGGCAGAGACTTTGGAGGAATGAAATTTACTGACTTGCTCCTCTGGCTTGCTCAGCCTGCTTTTTTTTTTTTTTTTTTTTTTTTTTTGGTTTTTCGAGCCAGGGTTTTTCTGTAGCTTTGGAGCCTGTCCTGGAACTAGCTCTTGTAGACCAGGTTGATCTCAAACTCACAGAAATCCACCTGTCTCTGCCTCCCCAGTGCTGGGATTAAAGGCGTGTGCCGCCACTACTCGGCTCAGCCTGCTTTCTTATATCCAGGACCACTTACACAGGGTAACACCATTTCCCAGGGGACCGGGCCCTCCCAGTGAAGGAAATGTTCCCACTAGACTTGCCTACAGTCCAGTCTGATGGTGATGTTTTCTTAATTGAGTCTCCCTCTTCCCAGATGACAAAAACTAGCCAGCACAGGGGTACTGTTTGAGCATGTCAGTGTCCTCTGCTCCTGCCCTGCCTCCCCCCCAGTTGTCTGAGCTGAGGGGCCTTGAAGCAGTGAGGTACAGGCCACCAGACAGGCACCTCTGACCCCTGTGTGCCTCTAGGCCAAGGCCAGCGGGAAGAAACTGCAGAAGGTGACTCTCAAGGTATCACCCCGGGGGATCATCCTGACAGACAGCCTCACCAGCCAACTCATTGAGAACGTGTCCATTTACAGGTATGCTCAGCAGGGAGTGGCCTGTCTGCTCTGCTCCTCAGGGTTTGATTGGATTGTCCTGTCTGAATCTAGGCTCTACAGCTTTCTTTGTGGGCTCTGTGGAACCTCAATGTCCCTCGTAGGTAAAATGGTCTGGGGGCAGGTCCTGCCTCCCTGTGCTGTTAATGTATTGCTAACAGGTAATGCATGGCTCACAGCGAGTCTGCAAAGGTGGGCATTGCTGTCCCCTAACCAGCTGAAGCCGGCTCAGAGGGCCTGTGCTTGGCCCTGTGCCACGGAGTCAGGCTGGGGACACACACCTGTGAAAGTTCCCTGTTCTGTCTGCCTTGAACAGTGCTCAGCCCCATCGTCTGACTCAGTGTCTCTGAGAGGCCTCATGCAGGATCTGGAGCAGTAATGGAGATGCTCCCTCTCTGTCCTGGGGGGCTTCAAGACTACCCCACCTCTTCTCAGCTGGTCAGGGGTGGGAGTACAAAACGGGAGAAGCAGCCCAAATCCATGTTATCCGTGGAGAAACTTGAGGCCTAGAGAGAGAGAGTGACCCAAGACTGTACCATGAGGTGGAGGCTGAGCTGGGATTAAGACACCAACTGGAGCTCTGTCTGCCCAGGTCCCGGGCCTGGGCGTGGCAGGCACAGGTGTGCTGGAGTGCTTCCAGAGGCCCTCGCTGCTGCCTGTAAGCCACCATTCAGTTTCTACCTGCCTTCTCTTAGCCAGCACTTCTCAGTGCCTGCCAGCCTCTGCCCTCTGAGCACTTCCGGTCTGGAAAGGAAGGAAGGGAAGGACGTAGGAGACAGTGTTTCCCAAGAAGGCAGAGAAGGGGGCGTGTTGGGGAAGCCTGGGAAAACCTCCTAGTGGAGGTGGCTCCCTGCAGGATCTAGCTGATGTTATCCAGAAGCAAGGAATAGTTAGCAGGAAGCCAGATGCCTAGGATAGAAAAAGCCCTTCGGAAAATGGCACCCCCATCTTCCCTCCTGGGGTTATCAGTGGTGTTATTGAAACGATGTTCTGAAAGTTGGGACTGTTTTGGTGAGGGGTGAATCTGCTGAGCTGCACCCCTAGACAACAGTCCCTCCCCCAACTGTGAGTCTCAGGATAAACAGAGGTAGGGAGGGGTTAGATAAGAGAACAGGTGAGAGGCCTGGGGAGCTGAGGTTGTGGGCAGAGATCTGAAAGGCCACTGTTTGCAGCAGAGGAAGCTGGTAGTCTCCTCTGCACCCACGGGGGCTCCTGGGCAGACATCCACACATAACCCCAGCCCTAGCTCTGCCCCAGCCACAGTTCCAGGAGGACTTGCTCTTGGTCCTGGTCTCTAGCGAGATGGTGCTGGATATGATCTGTTGTCTGGTTGGTGCGGGGCGGTGGTAGGCAGGGCAGTGTCTCGCTTCTCCTTCTAGCCAATTGACACAGACGCCTCAGGATTGTGGTTGTGGCTCTCAGCAGCATCATATCACAGACCCCCGGCTCAGAGGTTAAACAAGGAAGACTCTGTAGGGCCCTTGGCGTACTGACTGGTGTGCAGTTGGGTCCAGGTGTTCCTCTTAGGGCTGTGGCTCAGTGTGGGGTGGAAAGAAGAGGAAGGGACTTCCTTCCTTATCCCCTTCCTTGCCCTGCCTGGCAAGGCCAGATGTGCAGAGGCTTACCTGGTGGAGATCAGGCAGCAGAGTCTATGAGACCCAGCAGAGTCTGCACATCCAGATGTGATGAGGTGCCATGCAGGCCGGTGACACTTCTCGCCTGCTTTTCAGGATCTCCTACTGCACCGCAGACAAGATGCACGACAAGGTGTTTGCGTACATCGCCCAGAGCCAGCACAGCGAGAGCCTGGAGTGCCATGCCTTCCTCTGCACCAAGCGGAAAGTGGTCAGTGACGAGGGGGCAGGCCCAGAGGGGACAGGCCCAGAGGGGACAGGCTCAGGGACTTAAAAACAGGAGGAAATCCCCAGGAATCCAAGTAGGTGAGAGAGTCCAGAGGGCACTGTGAGGGGTGAAGTCAGCCAGCCTGGCTGGACCATCTGGCTATGGGCAATGAGCAGCCCGTGTCCCCTGCAAGTCCCTGGGCATATTCCTCTCAGGATTGTTATTGCTTGGGTTTGAGACTGTGACACTCTTGTCATTAGTACAGCCTGAGGTGCAGACCTTGTAGGGATTAGCTTTTGGAGATGGGAAACCAGAGGGACCCGGTGCAGGGTAAAAGTGAGACTTCTCTAGACTGGGCTTTCTGGGGTCGGGCGGAGGCAAATGGCTCCTTTGCAACCTGCTCTGTGCCCATTTTGGAGCTGGGCTTCAAAGTGCTTTCTTGTTTAGTCTCCAGGGCAGCTCTGTAAGGTGGAAATGGTCTCTGTTGCCTTTCTTTAAGCCTTTTAATTACAATAAGACACACCCCAGAGCCAGCAGTCTTGCTCATAATCACACAGCCAACCAGGTGCAAAGTGAGGCCCAGAGCCCACAGTTCTCTCCTCTGCACACCCGAGAGGCTGAGAACTTCCTGTCCCTGACCCCTGGCCACATCTGTTTTGGCTGAGTGATGGAGGCACCTTGGTGGTCTCCAGCGTGTGCATTGAATGTGGAGGAGCTGGTGCTGTTCTGACTTGGTTGATGACACCTTGGTTTCTGGGGCCTTTGAGGGTTGAGTGTGAGGAGGCCCCTGGTGTCAGCTGGCTCAGCATCTGTGTCTGCTGACAGCTCAGAGCCTGATCCCCAGACCCCTGGCTCTCAGAGGCAAGGAGATAAGACCTTTTTCTTCTCCATCAAAGGACACATGAGGAACTCCATGGTCTCTGGGGCCACAGGAATCAATGATACAAACGTAGTGACTCCAACAGCACAGGTTCATCCAGTCCTGGGAAGCGGCAGGCTGGGGTAGGCCAGGACTTACATCCTCAGCAGCCCGGGAAAGAGCCGTCTTTGCTTTCCTACCTCCCGAGTATTCACAGCCCACCTCCAGTCCTTGCTCATGAAGCATCCTTTGTTTTCAGAGGTGCCTGTGTGCCATCTTCCCATATTGTGTCTGTCTTAGTCCCTGTGAAGAGACAGCGTGATCAAAGCAACCCTTATAAAAGGAAGCATTTTACTGGGGCCGGCTTACAGGTCAGAGGGTCAGTGCATTGTGACAAGGAGCATGGCAGCATGCAGGCAGACACTGGAGCAGCAGTTGAGCTACATCCTGATCCCAAAGCAGAGACAACAACATTGAGCCTTATGTGGGCTTTTGAAACCTCAAAGCCCACCCCCAGTGACACACTTTCCCCAACAAGGCCACACTTCCAAAGTCTTCTAATCCTTCTCAAATAGTTCCAGTTCCTGGTATATATTCAAATATATGGGCCTATGAGGACCATTCTTACCCAAACCACCACAGTGATTCTCATACTGCTGTTTCTGTGCCTCTCCTCTCAGGTCCCTGTGGTAATGATGTCTACTGGATAATCCAGATTTATCTCCCCGTCTCAACACCCTTCCTTCTCTTAATCCTCCTGTGAGGCTGTGCTCAGGGCGTCCCGGAGAAGGGGAACAGCTAGTGTGCTTTGTAACCATGGTGAACCCTGCCCTTTTCTGGCCTGCTTACTTATCAGCAGAATGAGGAGGTCACTTCATTGACCCCAGGGTCATTCCAAAGGCCCCATTTCCTTTGCATGCCTTATCTTCCTGCAGAGTCTGTGTTACCGGTCATCCCTCTGGGATCCTTCAGGGCTCTGAGCAGTGGTGGCTTCTCCCGTGACAACCTGGACCCCATAGATGGCAGGAGACTTTGGCATGAATGAGGCCACATTGACTTAACATTGCAAAGTTACTGTGTTCTCACTGTTTGCTTCTTCCTCCTCACTGGTCACATCAGGCAGTCCTACTGGCCCTAAGTTATTACTGAAGTGTGGGCACTGGTGGGAGGGGCATGATCTCATGAAGCAGCTCTCTCTGGGATGGGGTTCTCTGTAGAACAGGGAACAGGCCCAGCCACTCAGAAGGAGACCTGGACCAGAGGACTCTACACAGTCTGCCCCAGGTCAGAGGGCATTGCTGAGAAAAGCAGAGGCTCTCTACCTCATGACTGTGGCTAGCATAGCCTCATGGGTGGAGAATAGGGTTCTTGCTGGACACCCAGCTGCTTGTTTCTCTGTGTGACCTGGCTGTGGTCTGTCTCCCACCTATTTCTAGCTTTTGTCACCCAGGGTTTCCAAGTCGCTCTGGGTTGGTATAGGTTGCTCCCAGGGCTTCAGGACCTTTGTTGGGCTCTAAAGCCATGGCTCGGTGGGCCAACACTGAAGGCTGTCCTGAATTGGCCTGAGATTCCCTGATTATCTGAGGGAGAATCAGGGATGAGTTGGGGGCCTTGGCTCTGCTCCGCCTTCTGTCAGCTGTCTCCAGTTTGAGCCTGCATAAGTCTGTGGGGGAGGGTTTGACTTTGACATTGAGTCTAGGGCTTGGCTCTAGGGTGGAGGTTAGGGAGCTGCCCAGAGACTGGAGACTTAAAGGATGAGTAGAGTGGTGAACACGAGTGTGCCAGGCTGAGGGCTTAGGGACTGAGTGTGCAAAGAACACCTTGATATGGTGTTCTGGGCCTGGAGACTCAACATCAGGCATGGTCAGCCGACAGGACCCATGGTGCAGATGTTGCCCTCACTGAATCTCCGCCTTTCCTTGCTGGCCAAGCGAGAAGCTTGGAGAAAGGGGTTCTTTCTGGGGTCCCCCACAGTGCGCCAAGGGCTCCCTTTTCTGCTCTTGTTTGAGCGTGATCAGAAGATCGCTGCAAGGAAGTGGTTCACTACGCTCATGTGAGAGGCCTCAGCTCAGCAAACACAGCCTCTGTGATCGGACGTGGAGGAGGAGGAGGAGTCTGGGCTCCCCGTGTGGACATAGGCCCAGACACCCCATTCTGTCTAGCAGAGTCAGACAGGGCTATTTCCTCCACGTGGACCTTGGTGTCCTGGAGAAATCTTTGTGCAGAGGTTAATATGGGAGCCAGATGAGCGCTGGCAGGGCTGATGGTGAACACAAGACTTAGTTTGGGCTGCGTACCTGGCCCTGGGTGACCTACTGACATAGCCTGCTTAGGTGGAATGATTTAGGGATATGACATCTGAACCAAGAGGAAGCTTCTGGGTCAGAAGTCCCAGGAGGACTGTGCAGTGGCCCGGGGGGATGAATGTCTTCCCACTGAGTGTTCCTGTGACTCATCCTGCTGGGGGTCCCCGGGGAAGCAGGCCACCCCCAGGCCTGCCCAGCCCTGCCGCCACTTGCACGCATTGCTTCAGATCTCGGCTCAGGTTACGTGTTTATTATGACTACTGTCCAGGACCCTAAGGCACAGGAGCAGGAATTTGCACAAATGAGCCAGATTTACGTAGACAGCATAAACCCCTGTCCTCCAGTTCCTGCAGGCAGACGTAATGGTGTTTCCATAGTCCTGCCGCATGGGTGACCAGCCCTTGCTCCAGAGTATGGTGGTCTGACTTGGCTGGTAATTAGCCCATATTTTTAGTTCATGGGCAATTCACAGTGGTAACTGGGTCTATTAAACTTGATTCAGACGTGACAGCTTAAATTGTAAACAGCTGTGAAGACTTTCATACTTAATTACCATATTTAAGTTTCACCATAAAGCATCCTCACTTCCATCACAAATGTAAATGACGGAGACATTCAAATGAGATTTTTATACTTCGTGAAGTTTAATTGGCACAGATCATCCAGTTTAGAGATTTTGAAATTTTTTTAAAGGAGTTTTGAAGGCAGTGGCCCCAAATTTATTTCTCAGTTAAATCGAGTTGTCTGGTGGAGGCTACTTAAGCATGAGCTTGGTCTACAGTTGAGTGTGGTTCCCTTCTCTGGGAAGGGACTTGTACGCCAAGCTCTGGGCTGGCTATTCCAGGACTGGGCTAGCAGGAGGTTGTAGCAGATCCGTGTGACAACCGGGACCCGCGACGCCATCGCTGCCTCCCGAGGGCGCTGTCTGAGCTGTGGTACTACTCTTGCTTGTAAAGGAAGCTTTCACATGTGGATGTAAGCATGTGAGCTAGGGCCTCTCCCATCAGCTGATTCCAGAGGGAGGTGGGCGGGGCTATAGAGCCCTGTGCTGGTGACGGGAGAGAGGTGGTGACCTGTAGTGGTGTGTGAAGTGGGAGCCACGGCAGCTGCTCATAGGCTGACCTCAGTGCTAGATGGCTTTTCTTCCTTACTGTCACTGACATCTTGATTCTGCCACCTCCTACCTTGCTGGGATGTCAGTTATCAGCTGTTGACACCCTCAATACCCTGTAACCCCTGAGCAGTGTGGCCTCCACCTCTCTGGCTGTAGCTCACTCAGGCACGGCTAGGTCCTTCCATTCCTTCAAGAACTCTGAGTGTAGGGAATCCTTGGATAACCCAGGATTGAGTCCCAGAAGTAGCTCTCATAGTTGGCTTAGATATGCCCGAAGGGAAGGAAAAAGTAGAGGTGAACAGACATTGTGGGTGCCGGACAGGAGGTGCCGCGTTGGTCCCCATTCTAGCATGTGGCTTCATTATGCCCCAGGCTACTGTGGGAAATGGAGGAGCTAGGGCCCCCCTCCCCCGGCCCTCCAGAGCCTGTCATGGGGTGGGAGCCCCCAACCCTCCAGTTCATACTTGCTTTTGCTGCCTGAGGCTGCACCCATCCCCACCCTCATTTCCTGTTTTTCAGGCACAAGCCGTCACCCTCACTGTAGCCCAGGCCTTCAAAGTTGCCTTTGAGTTTTGGCAGGTGTCCAAGGAAGGTGAGTCTTCCCTTCTGAGCTTTGTGAGTGAGTGAACAGGGACAGGTAGAGGCCAGAAGTCAGACCTGACTGACCCCAGCCCCGTCCCCTACTGGGCTTGTGATATTTGAACAGGTCATCTTACCTCTCTAAGCCTCAGTTTCCCCATTTGGACAAATGCCATCTTCCTCATTCTTCAGAGTGTTTGGGTTTCAGAGTGTTTGGAAGGTGTCTTTTCCCCTGGGGGAGCCCCTGAATGCCCTCAGCCTGCCTTCTCCCCAGGGGCTTAGGGAGACAGTGTCCACAAGGGCCCCAGCATGTTGTGCCTTGATCCCACAGAGAAAGAGAAGCGGGAGAAAGCCAGCCAAGAAGGAGGAGATGTCTCAGGGACCCGACGTGACAGCGCCCCCTCATTGAAAAGCTGTGAGTCTTGGCACTGAGCTTGTCTCCATCCAAGGCTCCCTCCTGACCTGTTGCTGCTTCCTTTTCTTCTGTTACATCAGCAATACCGATGCCTTGTAGGTAGCTAAGAGGGTACTGTTCTGATGCGCACACTAACCCAGACACGCATAAATGTGTGTGCGCACCTGTCTGCTTTGCAGCCTGTTAGACATCCCAGCCTACCTGGCGTGTGCGCCACCCCTGCCTGGCCACATGGTGCACTTTTAAACATTCAACTTATGTTATGAACATGCAGGCTCCAGGGTCTACCTTCAGGAGCCACAGGGTCTTGCCTGTGGACAACTGTCCTGTAGCTTGGGGTCGGGGAAAGTGTCAGAATGGGGCCCCGTGTGATCAAGGTCCATCCTGCACCTGGATCAGGCCAGAGTCCCAAAGCTCCTTGGGAATGGTATAGTGCCAAGGTACCCGAATGTGAGTGTGGAAGAGGCTAGAGATGATGTTTATCCTCCTCCTGATGCCCCCAACTGACCTCCCCCCGCCATAGTGGTTGCCACGGGGAACCTGCTGGATTTGGAAGAGGTGGCTAAGGCCCCGTTATCCACGGTTACCACTAATACCAACAACATGGACGAGACAGCACGGCCTCAAGTCTTGGGCAGCAACAGTGTCGTCTGGGTGAGTAGTTTGTGGCCTGCATGGTTTTGGGATCTGGTGAGCATTAGCCAGGTCTCTGAACAAGCCTGAAGTGATTCCCAGACCCAGGCCCTGACTCCGTGACTTATGGGAAGGACCAGATGCAGCCCAAAGGCCCTGGGTGGAGTAGCTGAACAATGTCCTCTCTGACCGCAAGGTTGTGTCCCCAGCAGGCCTGGTTCCCAGCACGGCCATCTCCTCACGATACTTAGTCTGAATCTGGGTATCTGTACTGTTCCCTCTCTGTCAGCAAAGACTCCCTTGTTCTGGACATGGCAGGTTTGTGCCTGGCACCCCTCCCTTCTCAGCTGTCTGAATTCACAGCAAGGCTGCGGGCTCTCAGGACTCATGGCCAGTGCCTGACCTCTGTCAGCCTTTTCACTCCCTCAGCGACGAGCTAACCTTCCACGGCATCTCCCAGAGGAACCTGAATGGCCGTTAATTTCAATTTTCATTTGGAGGTGGTTGGCATCAAACTGTATTACAGAAATAGCACCAAGTATTCCAGTGTCTGTAGACACTTTATATCAGCGTGTGAGAATGACCGATGGGACCATACTCCAGCATCGGCAGAAGCCATCCTGTGCTTGTCACAGCTCATTCCTTTCTTTTTCTGTTTTCTTTTGGGGGGGTGGTGGTGGTTTTGTTGTTGTTGTTGTTGTTGTTTATTTTATTTATTTATTTATTTATTTATTTATTTTTGAGACAGGTTTCACTGTGTAGCCCTGGCAGTCTTAGAACTCACTCTGTAGCCCAGGGCTGTCCTTGAACTCAGAGATCTACCTGTCTCTCCGTGTCTTTTTTAAATTTTAACTCCCTCAGGGAGTTAAAATTTTAACTCCCTCAGGGATGCCTTCTATGGCATCCTCCGGCCTCAGCCTCCCAAGTATCTCAGGACACCCCAAGCCTGTCCCACCAGGCCAGTTTATCTCTTCACATGATGGTGTTCCTGACAACTGTCAGCTCACCTCGGTCGGTTGGGAACAACTTGGGTATCCCTTGTACCTGTCCGTTGCTGTCTAGGTTCACCCTTGCCATTGTCGTGTGTCCTAAAGGCTTTGGAGGGGTTTCACATAGCTCTTAGGCCCTAAGGCTGAGAGGCCCTAGCTTCAGTTATCCTGAAGTAGCGTGGGACTATGACTGGCGTTGGGCACGAAGGAGGTGCAGGCGAATGTTCTCTGTCCTTCCTTTGGGGTTGGAAAGCTGTGGATATCATGTCCCTCAGTTTACAGAAGGCAAAGTAAGTCTCAGAGGAGCTGTGACTTATCTGGGTCACTGAAGGTCCAGACATGCCTGTTCCTTTTCTTTCTTTTATAGGGGTAGAGTGGGATTGGGGTTTCTCTGTGTAGCCCTGCCTGTCCTAGTACTTGCTCTGTAGACCAGGCTGGCCTTGAACTCAGATTCACCTCCCAGGTGCTAGGATTGAAGATATATGGTACCTACTGCCTAGCTGAGACCTGCCTTTTCTTGTCCTGTGCCCTAGCCTTGGGTCCAGAGCATGATGCTTGCCTACGCTAGTTTCCCTAGGCACCTCGTCCCAACACACTTACCTGTCCTGGGTCCCTGTAGCTCCATTGGGGAACATGGACCACTCAGAGTTCTTACTTCTTGCTTTGTTTCTAAGGAGCTGGATGATGGCCTGGATGAAGCATTTTCAAGGTAATACTTTGAGGGCCTGTGCTGGGGATGTGGGCCTCAGGCGACCTGGCTTTGCCCTCGGGTCTTTGTCCTGACTGAGAACCCAAGTGCTCTAGCCATCTACACAGCCATTCTTGAGTTCTTCCAGCGACAGGGAGCGTATTACGTAGGATGTCTCGTATGCGAGAATGCTTTTGGGGTTCAGTCAAAATGCAGGCTCAGCTTGTCATTTTGTATCATGTCACGAAGGCAGCAGGCAAGGACCGGACCACTGGGGTTCCTAGTACCGAGTCTAGACCCTCAGGCTTCCCTCCTCCCCTTTGGATACGCAGCCCCTTCAGAGGCTTCCTGCTTAGGGTTAACACCGTTGCCATCCCTCTCTCTGCCTGTTCCTGCTGTAGCCAGGGACTGACCAGCAGGTGAGGCCCTTCCCAAGGAAACAGCCCTTTCCCCCACCTTTCCTGCTTCAGTGACCAATTCCACCCACATTTGAAAAACAGTTTCATCTGCTTTTCCAGAATGTTCAGTTGTCACGGGTCCTTGTTAGCAATCTCAAACCTCTGTGTGGTATAATCCCAGGCCGGCCCCATGAGTGCTGACCCTGCCCACGAGCACAGCACCTTGTATCCATCAGCTCACAGCTGTGGCCCTGGGGACTCTGCGTTTTCTCAGTGCTGTCAGAGGCCTCCCTCCAGTTCACACATTCCAGGAACCCCTCCTGAGGTCAGGGCTGCCCTGTACTGACCTCACCAGGTTCTTCTGGACATCAGACTTGTCTCCTTACTTGGCTGTTGGGAAGCATGTCTAACCTGTGTTACGCCAAATGTCTTCTCAAGACTGAACACTTCCTGCCCACAGCTAGCCTCAGTTAGAGTAGGCTATAAGGGCTGCCCCAGTGCTCTGACCCTCTTGGGCATCCTGTTGTCAGGGGGCCTCTAGCTCCCCTGCTGAGCTTTGAGCCTGGCTATTTTCCCACTCACGTTCCTTCAGGCCTTCTGTCCCCATGTTGGCCAGGCTGTCCCTGTTGCTTCACCCCTGCCAGCCTCCCACCTGTTGCTTGGCTCACACAGCTCTGCCTTTCAGGCTGGCGCAGTCACGGACGAACCCTCAGGTCCTAGACACTGGACTGTCAGCACAGGACATCCACTATGCACAGTGCTTATCGCCCACCGACTGGGACAAGCCCGACAGCAGCGGCATCGATCAAGATGACCTCTTCAACTTCTGAGGGCCTAGGACTGGCAGGACACAGCTGGCCTTGACATGTGATGGACCAGAAGCCACCTGCAGCAGGGCAGCCATCTCCAGGAGCCGTCAGCCACTCTGCAGAAGTTGCAGAGGAAAGCTGCACAGTCAGGCAGGGAGAGAGGGCAGAACGAGCCTGGGATATTCAGGCTTGCATCAGGCTCTCGTGGTGTGTGCAGGCCAGGGTCTTGCCTCCTGGCCTGTGACCAAAGCATTCCATGTTCCTTTTCCCGGGGGCACTCACTCCTCAGGCGGTGAGAGCCTACTATTCCTTGTGCACTGGAGGGGACATGGCCTTCAGGGAAGCTGGGGTCCTGAGTTCAGCTTCTTCGGGGCTCTGAGAGGCAGCCCCTGACCAAAGACACATAGCTCTGCACTTTAACTTCACGTGGTGGACATGATTTGAGGTCCTCGATGGTGCTGTGGGAGAGAAGAGCTTGCCTTGCCTCCCTCCACAGAGGGCACGGTCCCTGAGGTGGTCTGTATAGTGCTAGGACCTAGTGTACCAGCTGCCCGGACTCCTAGAGTCTCACGGCAACCTGGGGAACACCTCTGCGTGGCTCTCAGGGCGTACCCAACAGGCCTGCTCTTCTGTTTTGTCTGTGTGTCCTGTGTGTGCCCCCATCTTCTGCCTCCTCATAACCCTGGGATGATACCAAAGCCTAACACTAGGTTGTGTCAGAATATTTCTCATCCATTTTACAGATAAGGAAACTGAGGCAACACATGTGGGGAGGTTGGAGTTGAGAATAGAACGCAGATCTGATACCGAAGCTCTGTCTGCGCTGCAGCCTCACAGCCCACGCCTCCTCTCTCTAGTTTTGTTGTCCTCCCAGCTATTTTCTGACCGAAATGTGTTTCATAACAAACCATCTGGTGCCTTTCCACACAGTGTTGGCGCAGGCCTCCTTGCCCTGCTGGCTGCCACGTTGCTGACTTCCGGAAAGATGTGTTTTGAAGTGTGTCGATTCCACGGGTTAAATGGAACCCTCCAGAAGCATCTAGCTGTCCCTTCCTGACGCTGCAGCCCCGGTGGTCCCCGCACCCCACCTGGTGGTCGAGCAGTCCAGTGGTGAGCTGTCCTTAGTCTCTCTGCTCCCATGGGCTCTGGCATCCTGCACCTCAGCCAAACCACAAGCATATTTGCATGGCTAGGAGCCCCCAGTGGCAGGGCTTGTGAGAGCAGGTCTCAGTAGCCCCAGGAGAAACACACCAACCAACATGACTTACTGAGTGGCTGAGTCAGACCCTTGCCTTGGGGAAGGGACTTGGGGAACCCTCCCTAGAATCAGGGTAGCTCCCTTTCCCCAGCCATGTCCAGGGTCCTGGGCGTGAGGGGCTGCCATGGTGTGGGTGTTGCTGTGGTCTTGACAGGTTGTCCGCTGCTGCCAAGGCTGCCTCTGAGGAAGAAACAGTAAATGTTCCCTTTTTAAAAAAGTATAAGCAGCACTCGGGGTATTGCTGGTAACAAGGGGCAGTGTCGTAGCTCCTGCCCTTTGGTGACATGAGAGGCAGTTGTCGAGAGCCTGGGGGAGGCCACGTGCCCTTGCAGCACCAGAACGGAGGATGATGGCAGGATCCCTGTGGATGAGCCAGCAGGCCACCTTTCTTTGCAGCTGTCACCGTGTGACACGGTACTGATGAATGATGGGGTCTGTGTGTTGACACTGACGGTGTTTCTAGCCATGTGTCCTGGCCAGACTCTGAGCCCCTGAGACGTGAGTGTGTGAGGTGTGGGTGGGCCCATGTGCACCCTTCCCAGGACAGTATCGTTCCCACAACTCCCATGACTCAGACTTGCAGCATTATCTGTTACTCCTGTTCAGGTCTTGAGCTCAGTGCCTTGGATGAGCCTGACCCATGTGGATTCAGCTTGTGTGGCTTTGTGTGATGGGGACAGAGGTGGAGGGTAGGGGTTCAGTGATTTTAGAGACCCAAAGTCCAGCCCTGGGTTAGTTACCTGCTTCCTTGAGCCTTGGTTTTCCTGTCTGTAAACAGGGTACAGCAATCTCCCATGCCTGTGTCCAGGATTTTGAGACTGTTGTCCACTATGACGTTACTGGTAGTTCATGCCTCCAGTAGCCCACAGGTTATCCCTGAGCAAGAGGTCATTTGGATTGAATGTGTCAAGTCCCAGTAGACTCTCAGACAGCGAGTACCACTCCCCCTGTACTTCCTGTGTGCCGGCTGTCATGACAGAAGTCATGGAGAGCTCAGATGTCATTCAGCTCCTAGTGCTGAGGGCTCTGAGCTTAGCTAGAAAGGTGGCCCTGTCCTGGGTGCCTGGTGAGGCCACAGGCCCTTCTCTGGCCCTCATCCTGTCATGTAGGGGTTTCCCAAGAGCTGGCTATGATCCAAGTGCTCAACACTCGTGCCCAGGCTCAGTGACCATTCCAGCAAGGCTGCATTCCTCAAGTTCCATGGGCTTGCGTCTGGGAACTCCCCAGCCGCTGCTCCTTCCTGTAGCTTGTGGGGGTCTTGGGCATTTATGCAATAGTCCTATTTTGTGTCCAGAGGCAGCCTTCTGATGCCAGCCGACGAGCAGACTCCCTGTGAGGCCCAAGTGGATCAGAGCAAACTAAAGAATTCTTTCTTCTTTGCCCCATAATTTGAAAAGACACTCAACAAGCTCATCTTTCGGTTTAAATTTGGCCAACGCCTTTAGTCTCCGGATGTCTCAAATTATGGATCCCGAGCCCAGCTGCCTGCTCTTTCATGCGTAGCAGATAAAGTGAAAGAACAAAGCCACCTTTCAGATTTGACGTGACCTTCAGCTCCTCCGGGTAGATGGTGGTGGATTGGCTCTTCAGGAGAAGCCATCACGATTAAACCTCGCGAGGGCTTTTCAGCGTCTGTGCCTGGGACGCAGGCTTGAGCTTGGCCTTGCTCCATCTTCCCCTGTGCAGTGGTCAGGACCCTTGTGCCCAGCCTCAGCATTATCAGTCTGCCTTGGCACAGTAGGAGGTGGGTAGGTGGTCTTAGAAGTAAAGAAAAAAAAACGGAAACTTTTGTTTATTCTTTGACAGTTTCATACATGTAAGCATCATCTTGGTCCTGTGCACCCTGCTCCATCCTCTGCTCCCTCTTCCCCCGAGCTCCAGCATCTTCTTTTCCCCTTTTCCTCTTGAATGCTTTGTAACCCACCGAGTCCAGTCAGTCCTGCCTGGTTAAGTGCTTGCTGGCCTCGTTGACTTGCTCTGGTGCAGGTAGCCACAGCTGCAGAGAGCTCTGGTATGTGTTGTCCATGTCCTATGAAGGACAGCATGTCACAGCTCTCTCCTCCCCCAGTGCTCAACGGTCTGTGTGCTCCCTTCTCCACGGTGTTCCCGGTCCTTGGGGAGGGTGTGAGAAAAGTCTATGTCAACCCTTCTGTAATCCGCCCTGTTTAGGACTGAACACCCACCAGGCCCTGTCTCAACTTGGACTCATTGAATCTCTTTATTAACTCCTGGCCACTGCCAAGAAGCCACCCTAGCCAGGGTTAAGTGCAGCCCTGACCTATAGGTATAAACATAAGTGGTATAGGACATGTTGCCGTGCCCTTCAGCAAAATGACAATAGTAGGTTCCTTCCTGGGCCTGTCTCTACAGTAACCGTGGGTTTTTGGCCAGGTTTGTGGTACCAGCCTGAATTCCTGTAGAGCAGGTCTAAATCCTCAAGTGGTTGGTTATCCCCATAACCTCATGCCACTACTGCACCAGTGGACACACTGTGCATGGTAGGCCGGTGTTGTGGCATGCAGGGTTGAGTGCTGGGTTTCCTTCCCCCAGTGACCTTTCTGCACTGAGAGCTAGTCAACAAGGAGGGAGCTTTTGGAAAGTTCAGTTTGGTTTCTGTGTTATACAGCCAAAGGTGTCTTATGCGGTGGAATCTTACCATCTAGTTTTGGTACCCTCTGGGGCCTCCCTGACCAGTAAACTGTAGGGAGGTATCCCATGTAGTCTCACTTCTTAGATGGGGTACAGGAAAGATGCAAACTGATTTGAGGCTCACATTCAGGAAGAGGCTAAGTCAGGGATTTGAACCCTAGGCTATCTGAATCCAAAACTTATTCCTGCTACTCTGCAGACCAGCAGCACCAGCAGTGGGCATCATGCCCCTGGAAGTTGCTGGGGCCTAACCCCATGGGCAGTATTGGTAGGTGCCAGCCACATAGATAAACTGTTTGGCATCTCTTAACTGTTTCCAGCTGCTCTGGATATGCCCAACTCGGGATTCTGCAAAACCACGTACCCACATAGGCCCCATCTTTTCCCGGGTGACATTGTCCACTCACTCTGCCAGCTTGAGAGTACTTCCCACAGGAGGGACACTGAGTCCGAAGGGGCTGGAAGGCAGGAACCCTTGACAGTGTCCGTGGTTTGAGCCACTGTAGTGACTGTAAGTAGTGTCTATGTGAGACGAAAGATACTGAGGCCCGTAGAGATCGTTCAGGCCTGAGACCCAGATCCTCTGTTCACTGACCTGGAGTGGCCCCGTATCTGCAGGTCACTGGAACACTCAGAGAACATGGCCTTGCTTGTTGGGAGCTCCTGAAGCCAGCTCAGAAGAACAGCCTTGACCAAATGCCAGCACAGCATTACTGGGGCAGCTTGGAGCTCCCAGCCAGTAGAGGTGTGGGTTGGGACACAAGGTCATGCTTCTGGGCAACCGTGTCTGCTGGTCACCAGCTTGGCCTTGTCTCTGGATGACGAGAGGCCTCTGCTCTTGATCCTTCATAGTCCAAGGGGCATGGTTCCCAGCAGTCCCGGGTCATGCAGGCTGGCCTACACCACTGTGACATTGGAGAATTGAGGGGTGTTGCAGGGAATGCCAGATGGGCGGCTGAGTGAGGGTGCTGGACCTCAGAAGGAGTAGGAAGGTTGGGATACCTTCGATGGCTTGGTAGCTCTGATGTTCAGGCCTTGTCTGAGTCACTCCATGGCCAGGTGCCCAGACACAGTCTGGCTCCATGTGGCTATGACTGAACCATGGCAGAAGGGGGTAGACCCAGTCTAAGTTTCTGAGAGAGTGGGCAGCCCCAGGTCAGTGGCAGCCCAGGGGTTTGATTCCCACCAAGGTTCTGGTCCCACAGACTCCCCAGCAGGCCCTGGTAGAGGGTGCTCCCAGCCAGCAGCCCTGCAACCCTCCCTGGGCCGTGTTGCTGAAACTGGAGTCTAACTCTATATCCTGACCAAAGACCTTGCTTTCCAAAGTGTTTTCAAATAAAGATTCTAGAATCTAAGTGTGTGGTGTATATGCAGACACAAGTGTGTCACAATGCATGTGTGGGGGTCAGGGAACAACTTTGTAGTGTGGTCTCTCTGCCCGCCTTTGTGTAGGGTCCAGGGGTTGAAGTCATGCCATTGGACTTCACAAGAAGCACTGTTATCTGCTGAGCCATTTTGCTGCCCTTGCTAGACTCTTAGTGTCTGGGAGAACCACCTGCCTCTCTCTGCCTCCTGATGGCTGGTAGAGGCATGCGCACCACTATGCCAGCTACAGCTGTTGTCTTCTGTGGCTTTAGCAGGTGGTTCCTGGTCCTGGGAGGGAGTCTGACGACTGAAGCAGGGAGGCCCAGACCCCTAGACTGTGATCCCCAAGTGTAAAGTCTTAAAACCAGAGGCTGCCACCCATTCTCTCGCCACCCCCCTTCCGATGTTCATGGAGCAGGACCCTCACTTCCCAGTTGGGGAAGACGAATGTTTGGGCTCTGCCAATCCTAAGTGAATCAGACTTCTGAATTTGGTGGTCCGCAGGAAAGTCAGGACTTCAGCAAAACTAACTGTGGCAAAAACAGGAGCCCAGGGATTCTGGGTTTGTTTATCCTACCCCGTTCCTTGTTGTTTCTATAACCTTCGTCAAACAATGGCTCGGTGTTCGCACCTATAGAATGGGAACTCACCTCAAACATAAGTGTGGAGATGAGCTATCCTGCCCTCAGGCCCACCCTCTGCAGTGGGTACTGCTTCCATCTCACAGAAGAAGCTGAGGCCCGGAGAGGTAAAGGTGATTGGCCTGAGTCACTCAGCGGAAAAGGGGCACACAGCCTGAGAGATGCATCTCAATTCGGATGGTTGGCTGATAGGGGGCATTTGATCAATGGCAATTTGATCAATTTGATGGCGGTTGTCTTTAGAGCTCAGAGATGAAAGTGGCTTGCTGGACTCACACAGGCAGGAAAGGGTTAGTCCGAGAGGAAGGCCGGATGTGACTGTGTGTGCGTTCTCTCGGTTATGGCGCCTTTCTCACTCCCATCAGCGTGTCCTCGGAAACAGGTGGCATCCAGATTGGGAGGGACACGGGTCACCCCAGGCCAAGAGACAGACAGGTCTAGGCGGTCCTCTTAGATGTCGGTGTGGCTAGCAGAGCCCAGCTCTGGGCCAGGGGTCTTGGGGTGCCTGGTGTAGGATGGAGAAGGCTGCATGGTACCCTCAGACACAGGTATCAGGGGCCTGAGCGGGGGACCAGACAGTGTGGGACAGGCCAGTGTTCATCATCCTTAGGAGCTGGGAGACTTTTCTTCCTATCACAGAGAACAGAAGGGAGGCTGGGTGAGAGGAGGCCTCAGCTGGGCCACAGTGTCCAGCCATGATGTCCTTGTGAGGGTGGTGGTCAGACCCAGACACCGAGTCACCCCCCCAGCAGCAGGGCCCCCTGCACCGTACACTGCCGTTGCCTGAGATCCGGACCGAGCACGTCCTGAGTGTCGCTTTATTGCTATAAGTTTGCCGATTCAGCTCATTACACTTAATTAGAATTATTTAATTAGAATCTTAATAAAAGAGTAAAACAGGAAGGAGGCTGGGAGCGGAGGTGAGGAGATCCGTGCCGAGCCTGTGAAGTAGACGCAGTTGGAGAAGCAGTGTGGAGGGGCTGCAAGGACCTGCAAGTGTGGAAGGTTGCACAGACCATCTGGAGCAGGTAGGGGGCCACCGAGGCACAGGAGCCTGACATGGGAGGTCCTGGACTGGTCATCATCTATTCTTTACCAGGTGCCAAGCCCCCAGCTAGGGGAGTGGACATGTGGTGTGGGGCCCACTTCCTGTCATCCAGGGACACCCAGTCCACAGACTAGAAGATTCAGTTACAGAGAGAGCAGACTAGAAGACAGATGTTTACACAGATGGTGTGGGAAGCAGAGCCGCTGGCACCCGAGGTGAGGTACCTGGCTGGCTGGGGTTCGCATGGTGATAGCTACACAGACCTGAATGCTGAGTTGTAGGTAGACAAGAGGGGAGGTGTGAATGAGGATGGCAGAGAATGCAGCATCAAATAGGGAGGAGGGGCAGAACACAGGAGAGGGTCACAGCTCAGACCTGGGGCCAGGAGGCTTATGTCCGGGCTCCAGAGCAGGGTGGCTATGGTAATTTACCTGAAGCTTTGTCACCTGTCACCTTCTTTTCCTCTCCTGTGGGTGAGGGTAACAATGGAATCCACCTCACGAGGCTCCTGCATGGAGAAGCTGAGCTAATAGCTGCATAGCGCGTGGGCTAGAACAGGGAGCGTGGCTAGGGCCAGGTGCAAGGGCTGAGTGTGGAGATGTCCCTTAAGTGGTCAGTTACACAAGGCTGAAGCCCAGAGTCTGAAACTCAGATGTCGGGAATCTGCAGCTGTGGGGGAGCCACCAAGTAGGTGTGACAGCATTTCTGCTGCCGTCCCCTAAGACAGCATTGCTGCTACCTGTCCTCTAGACAGCATTGCTGCTACCTGTCCTCTAGACAGCATTGCTGCTACCGTCCCCTTAGACAGCATTGCTGCTACCTGTCCCCTAAGCTCACCTTTCCCCAGTCGTTGAAGAACCCGAGTGTGGTTCAAGGACAACTCAGTTTTTCAGGGCCCTGCAGGGGAAGCAGCCCACACCATGGCTCCAGGGCAGATCCTGCTGAGACCGAGACAAGATCTGGCTGCATGGTCAGCACAGGGTCCCCCTGCCCCTCTCTCCTGGGCACAGAGCAGCTGGTGGTTCATGCTTCCCTTTAGGAAGCCATGCTGCACTTGGTGCAAATGTGCCTGCCGTAGCTTGTTTCCTGCCCTAGATAGGACACCCCCCTCCCCAAATGCGGTAGGATGCCCGCAGTCGGTCCTTATAAACCAAGGGCGGCTGACGTCAGTGCCCCCTTGATTGAAACCATCCTGGCTGGAGATCAGCAGAAATGAGAGAAAACTCCTAGCAGAGCTGGGGTGTGTGTGTGTGTGTGTGTGTGTGTGTGTGTGTGTGTGCCAGAAACCCACTTCCCTCGGGGTCTCACGGTTTCTGTTACTTGCAGCCAACCAAATGTACCCCACACATCACAGGGCCACACATCACATCACCCAGGGTTGCCCCGGCTGTCTGCCTGGGTCCAGAAGGGAGAAGCTGTGGGCTCAGCCGCCTCTGGAATTTGTCCCCGCGAGGGATCTGACTTTGCGCTGGCTTTCCACAAACCACTCTGGCGGCAGAAAAAGACAGGAGAATTTTTAGCCCAGTTACATAAAGTGTTTCTCAGTCCTGGGCACAGACTGGAGCTATGTATTTGAGGGCTTGAGTTCTTTCCCACCCCCCACCCTGGTGTCACAGACACAGCTTCCGTCTTCAGAATTCTCCTGGCCCCCACGGGCTGTGTGGACTCAGGCCCTCTGCCCTCCAAGGGACTTTCCCCCTCTCAGATGGCCATGGGCCACCATTTAATTAATAGATTACATGTAATTTAATTAACTCTTGTTTCATCACTTACTATACTCTTCGGGCCGTTGGATTCGTGTCCTTGCATGTGCAGTGGACTTTCCCTGCTGCCCCGACTAGACCAGATCTTCCTCCATTTCCCCAATTTCCAGGCGACTTTCTTGTTGGAAAACAGCGGAACTTACTGGAGAGACACCAGCTTGCTCATGAAATCTACTGGAAAAGCTGGCTCAAGGGGAAGGTGGGCTTCAGAACTGTGGCTTCTGTTGCTGTAGGGGAGTGGGGTACTCACTGGGCATCCTGGCACGGTACTGCCCATGAACGAATCATCTCAACCATGGCCTGTGGCACCGGCGTGTCCCACCCTGTGGCACCAGTGTGTTCCTGACATGAGGGCAGGTTCGTGAGTGATGGAGGTGGAGATAGGCCTGCTTCTAACTGGCTGAGACCAATATCAGCTTTTCATTTAAGACAGATGCACCTCCTGCTCCCTGGGTACGAAAGGGGACTGGAGCCAGGCAGTGGTGGCGCACGCCTTTAATCCCAGCACTCGGGAGGCAGAGACAGGTGAATCTCAGTGAGTTGGAGGCCAGCCTGGTCTACAAGAGCTACTTCCAGGACAGGCTCCAAAGCTACCCAGAGAAACCCTGTATTCAAAAACAAAAACAAACAAGCAAGCAAACAAAAAAGGGGAACAGGACTGAATGCTAAGCAGGAGAATTTCCCACTGAAACAAACCTAGAAAGCCAGCCATGTTCCACCTTGTCTCTACACAGTGCTATCATTTTGACAATGCTCTCTTAGTTTAATCTTGACCATGAACTTCCAAGAGCTGTTACTGGCATCGGCCTGTTTTGTAGACTGGACAAGGGGTCCGCATCTTTGTCATGTCCAGGCTTTGGGGTGTGGTGAGAACACGACAGTGTTGTGGCTTCTGGAGGGGACACTTGGACTTTGGACCAACTGTCGTTCTTCAGGGTCCAGCAGAGGCAGGCAGGGCTGCCCACTACCAACCACTGTTGCCCTGCTTGGCATGGGTCCCAGAACAGCAGGGCACCGTTATGGAGACAGCGGCAGCCACAGCATACCAGTTTCTCACCAGAAGCAAGGGTGTGTCAGGGATATGAGCTTTCTGTTGCCTCAGGGTGTGGCAGCGTTGTGAGGATGCTGACTACCACCCACAGTTGAGGTGGTAGGGCTCTACTGTGGTAAACTAGAGGCCACTGTGCTGAGTTCTGAGACCCACTTAGCCCACAATTGGGCATGCTCACAGAGTCTCCTATTGGTGGCAAGGGTCTTCTCCATCAGACTGGTGGTCCCTGAACCTGAGGCCATCTCATCTCTCAATAGAGGTTCCTAGGGCTTGGGTGACACTTCCTCCTATATATCCAGAGTTCCAGTGTACAAGAATTTTGTCTCCCTCTCGGTACTGAGCATTCTGAGAAACTGTCTTCTCCCTCAGATTAAAGTGTACTCAAAGCCATGGTCCCCACTCTAGGATGGGATATGAAAGGTGAGGCCAACAGAACTGGGAGGAACTGGTTTATCCTGAAGTAGGCTCTGAGAAGAGTTAGGACTTG